CCGACAGCTGCACGTGCATTGCGTCACCGTGTGGCAGACGTGAGAAAACGTGAGCGACGCAATCTGCCGGGTCTGGCTCTCGTTCATCAAGATCCGGGTCAACCAAGGGGCATTACTCTCTCTTTTAAAAACAAAAATATAGTGTACGTTGATGATATTGAATGGTGATGTAAATGTCATAAAAATGGTTATATACCTATACATAATGGTATCTCAAAATGTTATACACCAGCTATAGGGGTCATCCATAAATGACGTCACGCTTTTTTGACGATTCCCCCCCCTCCTCCTCTCCGTCACACATCGTCACAAAAAGCCAGACCCCCCCCCCAAATGACGTCCCACCTCAGCCTACAGCCCCCCCCCCCCTCAAAATTGTAGTTAAATTTTTCTTAAAATACGATATTTTTCCAAAATCTTGTCCGAACTCTGTCTATATGGAGTATTTAAATCAATTCCAATTCCAATTTATTAAAACAGTTTTCTATAACGCGAAATAACGGCTCCAATTCGTTTTTTTTATAATGCAAAAGTGTGGACGTTACACCAACTCTCCCCTCACACACACCGTCACAAAATTAGGAACCCCACCCCTCTCCCTCCCCCCCCCCCCAACGAGTGTGACGCCATTTATGGACGACCCCATAATAAAAAAAAACGCAGATAACAATCGGTAACCGTGGAGACCAGAGTTCCATTAAGCAGATGAAGTAGAGTGCACATGGTTTTCTGAATTTGACATATCGAAAGGAAGTATTAGCACTAAGCGCCGTTACTTTTCCCGACTATAGTCAGGTACCCATTTAAGCTGAGTATGCTCAAGCCCAAGAACTGAACTCAAAACTCTTGTGCGCTCTACTACTCGACCACTAAGTAATACAGATGTGGGTTAAAGTTGAGGGACTAATTATTGATGGTGCTTCTAAGAATCCCCCACCCCTTCACTACCCGCGCGCCAAAATGTGTAGCCCCTATGTACATCTCTACATACTGTACGGTCTACAATCTGCATGATCAAATGTAAGTGTATCTTGTGACAACGCCAATCTAATGTTTTGGGTGGAGGCGTGAAGAGGTTCCAATCATAAGATCATCATTTGTTATATATTGTGATATGTGGGGGGGGGGGGGGTCACTGTAATCGAGAGAAAAGGGGTTGGGGGGGGGGGGGGGGGGTCACAGCTCTACCACAAATAGAACCATGTTTCAAGAGGTTCTTTTATGCGTTTCTTTAGGAGGTGGCACCGCCCCCCCCCCCCCCCGGAAATTTTAAGTCGGTCAACTTCACACCGAAATTTATAAGAGCTCAACCGCCCCTCCTCCCCCCTCCCCCCCCCCCCCCCCCCCGTCCCCAAAAGAAAAATCTGAAATGTAAATGCTTAACTTTGGCTTTTCGGCTAACATATACAATGATAATTAACTATGGCTGAAATATAAAAGCTTTGTTGGCTGAAATTTAAGTTTATTTTTTTATTTTATTTTTTGGCTGAAAATGTAAAAGTTCAATATTCAGCTGTACCTTTTTAAAAGTTGAATTCTGTCTGAAATGTAAGAGTTTTTTTTTTTTTTAAATGCTGGCAGAATATTATCAAAGAAATAGACTACCCTTCGTTCAAGCACTTTAAAAGTTTCCAACAAAAAAAAATTCCTCTCAGCTGGAGTCTAAACCCAGCATGCTAAAGTTCACCAAGTGAGCACCATCTCACGTGCAGGCGCGTCATCACACCGTGAATTCATCAATTAGTGTCACAAGGCCTCACCTGCCAGAGAATGTGTGACTGGCCTTGCTAATGTTGCTCAACACTCCGAGCCCGCTCGGTTACCACAACAAATGGTCCTGTTGCGGTGTCGTATCAGCTCTGTATGCCCGCTAATAAAGCCCGGGGTTATTAATATCTGTAATGATCAACAAGTCGACGTGTGACCGGTGTAAGAGAAAGGCAGGTGGTGGTGGATGGGTGGGGAGTGGAGATGAACTGGGGGGGGGGGGGTCTGTTTCGTGTGGAGGGGGGGGGGTCATTTATGCATGATATTGGGAGGTTATAATTTATGAGCCGTAAAAGGTTATTTCTACAACTATTATTTGTTTGAAAACTTTGCAAATTTATGAAACAGTACCTTAGCCACTTCCCTGACCTTGGCCCTAATCCTTAATGAAATAGTAATTATAATAAAATAAAAAACGCGATACCATACACCCATTCATGGGTCATAATGAAATGCAAGTATTTTTCTAACCAGTGAAATAGTGGAACTTAAATAATTACAGTTTACACCGGCTGGCTTGGCTGCCTCTGGTATTAAATTTTTGACCTCTATTAATTAACAGAGACATAAGAAATAAAAAATGCTGAGGTTAATTAAAGAAATTAGTAACATGTTAATGATACCTAATATAAATGTAATCGGTACCTTATTAATATATATATATATATATATATATATATATATATATATATATATATATATATATATATATATATATATATATATATATATATATATATATATATATATCGTTAGATTTATATTCCGGACTTAGGAAAATTGGCGTTACGAGATATTATTTAAGTTGATCGTTTTGTTGTTCCAACGTAACAATTCAAAAGTATATGTATCATGTATCCAATATACATTTGGTTTTCACATTCGATTTCGACCGCATGTAGAGCAAAACCATCAAGCCGATCCTATGAGATAGTGGATCTGAAATGCGTCTGAGAGTTCCAAAAATAAAGAAAAATTAACAAACACATTACACGTAAGAATGGAATTAACTGCAGTACAGACAATACGCATTTAACAGTGCACCAGTCGAGGGTACGTAATTCCTGTCTTCCCGAATAGTACGAGGCATAGACCCTCAACCCAGACCTCCAGAGGAGAATTCAGGCCTTTGAAGTGAGATGGGCTACGCAGACTCCCTCGGGATCTCAAACTCACGCGTTACATAACTAATGAAGAAGCCCGCGATGAGTACGTTTGAGAATCGACTAAGCATTGTCGAAATAAGGTAGCTGAGATGGTATGGGCATGCCAATCGAAACAAGACCCTTGTCAATGAGTGTAAAGAAGGGGAAGGCAAAGACATCAAAGCATACGGGACATCATAGTTTGGACGAGGCTGTCCGTTTCAGAACATAACAGCAGAAGACCAAGACAGATGACAGAAAATTATGAGAAAATCTTAAATGGTGCGCTAACACCCCAATAGGTGTTAAGGGACATTTGATTAATTAATTAAACGTATGTCTTTAAAAAAAAAAACTAGATAAGTAGCCTACATTGAAATAAAAATTTCTTTAAAAAAAAATTTGATCCGATAAAGGGAAGCAACTGAATTAGTATTTTACTATTTACCTTTACGCAGTCACCTCCCATAAAAATTTAAACTAAAATTAACACCCTTCAACTTCAAGCGAGAATCATGTTTGTTTGTCAAATAGAAGCTACTAGAATAGTTTCTCTTATAAAAAGTTTACACTGTTGTTTCTCTTTTTCAATTTGAAAGTTTAAATTATCAATAATTAAATTTAGATTTTGGTTTTTCCGCATTTTTTTTGTCTTTGTTATGGTTGATAGTTGGACGAACATCGGGTTGGGTTAAGGTTCAGCTAGAGTTAGAAAAAAAAAAGATTTGCAAAGCCGAGCTAATGTTTGAGAAAGTTCCTATTGATAACATTTGTAAACACCACGTGACTACCTCATCCAATCACAAACGAAATAAACTCAAAGCTCTGAGCTGAATCCCAAACAAAATGTAATAATTGTTTTAAAATCACAGGGCCTGGTGAAAAAAATAACTAAAAGATGGGAGGTCCCTGATTACAAAACAAATTTACATCTAAAATTCATCATGATGAATTGAAATCTTCCTAAGTCACAAAGACATTGATTAAGTAATTTAACTAATTAAACCTATCACGCCACGTCGCTCCGGGGTGAAACAAAAACGAAAATCAAATAAGTTAACCTTGGTTTTATTTGCTTATAAAATAAAAATCAGGATACCAAGGCGTGAGAACAAATACTACGTTCGTTTGGTTTTTCATTTCCAGTGACCAAAACCGGCTACAACTACTACGCTGATGGTGTTACTAGATATCAACACCATCTACAACTTTAACGTTGACGGCATAGAAAGCCACAGAACAGTTTCAATAAACAACTACAAACATCAGCCACCAACGCCGTCTACCATTACAACGTTGACGGGATAGAAAGCTACACAGCAGTTTCAATAAACGGCTAAAACCACCACGTTATTGGTGTAACCAGCTTCACTCATCAGCCAGTAACACCACTTGTATGGTGTCTCTGGTAACACCATTGATCGCTTTCTACGATGTTCGTATACACCTAGTTTGTATACACTGGCTTCTCATATTATCTGATTAAAAAATTGATAGTCAATTCCTTTCATCGGCAGGTAACGCGTGTTTGTGTGTGTGAAGGGGACATAACTCTAAAAACTAGTGTGTTACCAAATTCATCAAATAACTAATCTAAAGATCTTATATTAGTTTGAATCAATTTATCACTGAGGATCTCTAGTTATTAATTAATGTCTTAAATTAGTTTTAGTAAATTTATTAATCGGAAAAAAATTAGAACCGCATCTATAAGGCAAGCTTGAGGACGAGGAATAATCTAGACGATTTGATCCGTTTCTCTTTTGACACAGTTACCGTCTCTACCTCCGAACCACAAATTAATATGTATATTAATACTACTAAAATAACATCGCTTTAAAATCTAATAATATATTTGTTATCGGAGAATAAATATTTCAATGCATTCAGTAACCAGTACCTGAAACCATAACATAAACAATGGCTAGGTGTTTGGATAGCATACAAATCTTAGTCCTATTTTTGCTTTCAACCTCTCCACGCATGCGCGCTGGCCTACTACCCCCAAAACCAAACTTTAGAGCGGTCAGCTCCACTAATATATGTTCGGTAGGATATCCGGTTTTAAATTTAGCCGTGCCTTGCGACATGCCGCTTGCGAGGTCAGGGCCGTTGATAAGAAGCAGACGACAGGTCACAGAGAAGCAAACGATCTCCGGTCATCAAATCGAGACTTCGGCTGTTGAGTTGGACCTACCTGAAACTTCTCTAAAGAATGTATCTGAAGCAGGTGATGAAAAAAACACATTGAATGTTCAAGTATCGAACATTGGTGAGGGAATAGCTACTTTGAGTAGTACTTCATTGGACGAACTAAATTCCACTTTTAGTAATACTTCATCGGGCGAACCAGATACCACTTTAACTAATATTTCATTTGATGAACTAAATATCATGTTTAGCAATTTTTCACTGGAAAAAGAAAATACCACTTTTATCTCACGAGCTGATGTAAATCCACAAACGACAACTTTTTCGTCCCAGTGGGAATCTACAAAATACAACTCAACTTTGCCGAAAACTGAACCCAACAACTCAAACTTTACAACAGAAAACACAAACTGGACGTCCTACTCTCCATCTGCTCCACCCAGCCCAGTGTCGCCCAGCAGAGCAGCGCTCATAGCCATGAACTGGTATATGACGCTGATCATCAACCCCGTTATAGGCGCGCTAGGAATTCTGGGCAACATCGTCAACTGTCTCATTCTCAACCGCGACGGGCTGGACAAACCTTCCAACATATTCCTCTTCGCCTTGGCTATAGCGGATGTCTGCACCCTAGTCGATAGCCTCGACGTGGCCACCATCTTGTCTCAATTACCGAAGTCAATCCCGCTGGGTAGTTCGTTCATAGAGTACGACTGTCATCGGAAGTGGCAAGGGGAGATCATTCTAAATATAAACCGTGTGATCATCGGGTTGTTTACCTTTGGCGTCAACATTACCTCAACACTGTGTGTCGTCATCACCATAGAGAGACTGGTCGCCATTTTTTCCCCGCTGAAATTTAAAACACTTATAACATGCACACGTGCTTGGTTGGTCGTGGCGACCGTCTCTGCTGTTTACTTTGCCCAAACGGTAATTTTAATGCGAAAACTGTATTTTGTTTTCGGGTTTTCTTCTAAATACCAAGTTTGTCTTTGTGGTAGCGTCGTTCGATACGACGACTTTGAAATGTTTCTGGATATGGCTGTGACCTGGATCGGTTGCGGCGTGTCACTGGCTATCATCACCGTCGGGTCTTGCGTTATCCTCGTGAAAATCAAGCTCATCCAACGAAATCGACGTCACATGACGTCATCGGCGTCTTCCTCGACGTCACGAACGACGAGGACGTTGATGTCCGTGTGCGGTGTGTTCGTGGTGACGCAAGTTATCCGTTTCCCGTACGCCATCTCCAGCCAGCCGTTCGAGGACATTTATGTGAACTTGATGTACACCATGGTTGTCATGACAACGTCCTATATCAACAGCGCCGTTAATTTCGTCATCTACGTCACGCTCAATTCTAAATTTAGAAAGATTTTTGTCGCTATGGTTGGATGCAGAAAGGATAAGAAAAGTTTGAAGGGAAGTAACTCCCAAGGATAAGGACTTTATGGTGAATGACCTGCGCTCAATCACTTTAAAAATACACCGGGAGTGATTTCCTCTATACTTTCTCGAATCTAATTTTTTAATTTTTTATTTTTTTTATTTTTATTAATCTATATACTACTAAAAGTCAAGTTTGTTTACATGTTTGAATATTTATTTTTTTGTTTGTTTGTTTTTTTGTTTGTTTTTTTCTTTGGCTGATTGACTATTGCGCATGGTTGCACTCATCGTGGAGAGCTGTAAAATAGTATGTAGGTAGAGACATTTTTTTGTTTTAAGACAGACTGTTAATCACACATTTATTTAAAGACGTTAATTAATTTATTGATTTATTCATACGTAGAGTAACCCTATTTTTTTTAAAAGTTTAGAACGACCACTACACTCGGCGGGACCGTGACGTCACAGTTTTTTGTTTACTCTTTAGTACAATAAAATTGCGTCGTCTATCGAAGAAAATTGTGTTCCCATTCAAAAGTTTAACGCGTTCTAAATCTAATTTTCTGTCGGCCATAACTTTAACAATACGTCCGTTTGCTGTATTTATTACGTTCCAACACTTATATCAATTTTCAACTGTCTTTTTTCATTTAGTTTTACAATAAATTTTTCTAGCTCTAAAGATCAGCTGTCGAAGGAAAGTTATGAATCTAGCGTAGATTCTAGATCTAGCCTAGATCTAGGTCACTAGACTCAATGTAAATTCTAGATCTAGACTTAATGTAAATTCTACATCTAGAATCTATTTCAGGCCTTAATACATCTAGAATCTATTTCAGGCCTTAATTATTTTATATAAATCTTTGTTTGGCTAATTTAAGATACAATTTAATTTGAAAGTTACTACTACTAGACTTAGATCTAGATCTATGCGCGTAAATCAAGTTGCATAAGTAGACTCAAAGTATAGTATAAAAATTCATTTGTGGCGTCACGAGTAAATAGCTAAGTTGGTAGCGTGGTCCGCTCTCATGCGGGTGGCACAGGTTCTAGACCAATATGTCAATGATATTTTTTTTTCATTTTTTTTTTTTTTTTAGATGTGAATGATAAAGTTGCCTATCTGAACTTGGCAGGATACAGGGCAGGTGAAGTAGAGTTCATCTGTTTCTTTGTCCTAAGCATATGAAAGGATAGTGTGGTCAGAGACATGCTCGGCTGGAATCGTTTTTTAAACGATAAAAACATGTTGACTGAGACTTGGCGGGACACTGGGCAGGTGAAGTAGAGTTGAGTAGGTCACATGTGACGTCAGTATATGAAGGGATAGTCCGAAATCGGTGTTTTCGGTGTTTTTAAAAGATAAAAAAACATATTTTTGAATGTGGGGTCTGTTTTTTGTGACGATAAGTGACACTGCAGTAGCGTAGCGAGGAGGGGGGGGGGGGGCGGGAGGGGGAGGGGGGAGGGGAGGCGGGGGAAGTGGAGGAGGGGGGAAGGGGGGGGGCGGGCGGGGGACATATGTTGGGGCGCCAAATAGGTTTGGAAAAATAAATTGAAAGGTTGAGGGGGGTTCAAATCGAAAGTTTGAGTGGGGGGGGGGGGGGTGCTCATCAAAAGTTTGAGGGGGGGGGGGGTTGAAAATCGAAATCTTGGGGGGGGGGGGGGGGTTAAAATCGAAAAGTTTGTCCCCGGGCGCCGGGAAGGGTCGCTATGCCTCTGAGTGACAGACGTGATGTTTTTTGATGGATGACCCCCGAAACCCACAGTTATCCAACGGATGACGGGTATTCTAGTACAGGGGTCGGCAACCTTTTGAGTCTAAAGAGCCAAAAGTTACAATTTACAACATTACCCGGATTTTAAAGAGCCACCAACATTTTTATGTCAATAGTATATTTGTTTAGGATTATATATATATATATATATATATATATATATATATATATATATATATATATATATATATATATAATCCTAAACAAATATCATACTTTATATATAATTTAAAATAAATAGCTTTGAATACATGAGATAATCTCATTTGAATTTGTGTTGAGAGGATCTTCTATGTAAGTCAGAGTACTTGCATTTGTTTTGAATTGCTCAAATCTCTCAGTGAAAACATCCTTCATTTTGCTTATATTAATGCTGAAGTGATTGAATAGTAGCATTGGTTTCATAACGATATTTTTTCAGATTTTTTCGTAATTAAGTAATTTACCGCTCACCATGTATTCAACAAAAAAGTATTTTTTTTTCGAAAAAAATCACTTCTTCAAGCAAGACATAGGCTCAGTTTTCCTTTCAGTTTTACACTTAGCTGGTTTAGTTTCTTTGTGATATCCACTGTAAAGATGAATGTTTCAATTCGGAATGGACAATGTAATAGGAAGTACATTGAGATAGGGAGTAACTAAATATTCTAATATAATAGTCGATGTTTATTGTTTATATCTTATGTTATATCGTTTATTACCGAGTGTTGCAGACTAATATTTTTATGAGTTTTGAAAATAAAATAATTATTAATATTTGTGCATGGAGCTGAAGAGCCGCAACTGGACACCAAAAGAGCCGCATGCGGCTCGCGAGCCGCAGGTTGCCGACCCCTGTTCTAGTATAAAGTTAAATTCTTTATGTGTCGGACCGCGCATACCGAAAGTATAAAAGAATTTAATAGACTTTATCGTCATAGTGTTAATCGTCTAAAGTGCTCGTCGTCTAAATTAATTATTTAAAAAAATAAACATTGAAGGTATAAAACAACTTTCATTTTTCAAAATATGTGTGATAATTGTCGGCATGTCCATCAGACAAAATTTTAAAAAAATATGTATCACCTTTCACAAAAATTCTAATTGTGTCTAAAAATTATTTACATTTAGTTCTTTAGCACTTCTTACGTCCCTTGATAAATTAGGAAACACAATTACTTCCCTTTATAAACAACATTGCATCGGCGGGAAAAAATGAATTTAATTTTTAACACGTTTTTATTAACTCAGCTTCGCGTGTGTTTGTTGTTAAAATTGACATCGAAAATTAGCCCACTTCTGATTGCTCTATAGACCTGAAATTTGGCATGCATGCTACTTTCGCCTAACAATTTCAGATGCAATCATAAAAACTAGCAATTAGAGACCGTAATTAGCTTAATTTAATTACGCCCCAAGGACCATAAAATTGAGGACATGATTTCTAAAGATACCGACAAGACTGGAGGCTTATCGACACAGTTACTTCGGCCCCAATCGATGTGAGCGCGCTGGCCGTGATCGTATAGTGGTTAGTACTTCTCGTTGTGGCCGCGACAACCCAGGTTCGAATCCTGGTCGCTCAAGATTTTTTTAGTCCGTGTATTTATAAACACTTAGTCAATTCATACTTAATCAAGTAATTAGATAAAGTAGAAAATAAACTATATAAAAAAACTTTTTTAAAAACCACGTTTTTCATGTGTAGCAACGGACTAAAAAGGAGAAAATAAAATACTTAAAAAAAACTTTTTAAAAAACCACGTTTTTCTTGTGGACTAAAAAGTAGAAAATAACTATTTACATACATTTGATGACAAAAAACGTGGGTCGGGCAGATGGGTCGGGAAATTTGATGGTGAACGTACCCACGTTTTTTGTCATCAAATGTATGTAAATAGTTATTTTCTACTTTTTAGTCCACAAGAAAAACGTGGTTTTTTAAAAAGTTTTTTTTAAGTATTTTATTATTACTTTGTTTTGGTGTTGGGAAAAAATATTTACATAGCTAGCGGGGATTGAACAAGTGAAATGTGTTAGGTATTTTAAATACTGCCTTTTATTTATTTTATACACTGAATTCGTTGTCAGTCTTTTTTTTTTTTGCGCGTGAAGGGGAATTCGTTTTTGTCTATTGCACTAAACAGGATAAACGTCGTCTTTTTTTTTACTTTCTCGTATATACGAAGTATAGAGAAAGTATTGTAATCGTGCACAAAAATCAATAGAAATTTTAACAATTTTCACCGTATTACACCTCAGTCCTTCATCACATCCGAAGTATAGAGGACTTATTTTAATCGGGCAAAAATTATCAATCCAGATTAATCAAAATTAAGAGGTTTTATGCGTAATCCAGTCTGAAAAACTGGGCTTTGCAATTCTGTCCGTATGTCTGTGTGTGTGTGTGTGTCTGTCCGTGTGTAAACACGATAACTTGAGTACCGTTACAGCTAGGTTGATGAAATTTCATATATAAGTATTTTATCAAAATCGTAGATCCGTCTCAACTTTTGAGCGATTTCCGATAACCGGAAGTGGTACTTTTTCTACTTTGAATTTTTCAAAAGCCTATAACTTGAGTACTATTTCAGATAGATAAATGAAATTTCACATGTAAGTATAAGATCTAATTCTCTACCTTCTGTCAAATTTTGAGTAATTTCCGTTGCCCGGAAGTACTAATTTACGCTACTTCCGATTTCTCAAAAAACTAATGTAAATTTTTAAAGTACTAATAATATTGCGCACTATTATGCACTTTTTTATTTGGCGTTCACTTGGTGTGCAATCTTTTTTCTACTAGATTTTATTCTATTTTAAAAACTTTAAGTATTTAAAATGGATTAAAAATCATGTCTATAGCCCGAGTTCCCATCCCCTGTTATTTTATATAAGAATATTCGAGAAAGTTTAGGGGAGATCACTCCCGGTTTATTTACCTCACTGTAGTGCGTACCCTTTTTTAAGCAGACCTTTTAACAATTAATTTTGCAATGTAAAGTTTATCTACGTTCTCGATTGTAAAAGCAAGATCGAAAAAACAATTTCTTTTAGCAGCCATGTTTATGTTTTACTAGCCGTCGGTACCCGTTACACGTGAATTATAGGCCTATATATTTTTAATGTTATACATATTTGGAAATAATAAGTTTTAAAATAGTTATTGATCAAAATGCAACACTACACGTTGAGATATTAGTTACAAAACAAAGAAATAACTAAATAGCTTAAAACCCGGCACTTTTAAATAAACAAAGGCTACCAAAATCCTAATATTTTATAAAATAGTTATTG